AATGTATTCGTGATTACTTTGCTATTAATAAATCTTGCTTAATAGATAATATTGTAAAAACTGCGAAAACCACCAATTTTTCAATAAAATAGTGAAATTGATCGGAAATTTAACATTAAAGTATAATACATATGTATAGAAAGAGAGCAAAATTACCGAGATTTTCAAATATTATAATATTTTGGCACATCTATTTTCTAATATATTATAATATAAATTCACTAATTATTATGTATTGTATATACAATTATAAATTAATATAAATCTTGTATAAAAAAAACTGTCCGTTATGAATAAACGTAAAAGATAATTTCATAAAAGTGCATGTTACAAGTATATATTAGACTGTTTAATAAAAGATTCAATTCAACGTCAAAAAATAATTTCGATAAACAGTTTTTATGAACAATAAATTCTACACCTTTTAAAATTTTTTACGAATTTTAACTATAAATCTGTAGAGAATCATGTAAATAACAAATGCTCTTTGATGTATCTAGTTGCATATGCTCATATATGCATTAACTGTGTTGCGTACTTTTGTATGTTTAATAAAATATAATCTTCATACAACAAGATTTGAGGTCGCGTATAATATCGAATTCCGATTGCAAATGTAGTTTCGCAAATGTATTCGTGAGAAGAATCGCGATATCTGTATGTATATCAAGATTCACCTGCACGCTAACTCTTACAAACGTTCAGAAATGTCAGATGCCGATTTTTCTCAAAATTTTTACAGTTCTTATGACAAAATAAAAAGAAATCTGTCATTTAGCCCAAAGTGCATCTGTTCTATTAAAAAAAAAAATTTTTTTTTACAAATACCCGATTTTTATATGTTTAAAGCAATATTTCTTACAAATAAATATACACCCGATATTTTGAAGCTCGGTACACATATAGAACACCAAAATAATAATTAAAAATAGTTAAGAAACGATACTCATGAAAAAAACTTCTTACAGAAACATAACTGGGAGCTGATCTGGATTAACCTTTTTTTTTTTTCCCGTTATTCTAACTTATAAAATAAAAAAATCACTAACTAAATCGCTGTTATCTATCTAAATGTGTATCGAGCTTCAAAATATCGGATGTACATTTATTTATAAGAAATATTGCTTTAAACATGTAAAAATCGGATATTTGTAAAAAATAAAAAAAATTTTTTTAATAGATAAACGCAATTTAAGCTAAAATTAATGACAGATTTCTTCTTATTTTGTCATAAGAAACAACTGTAAAAATTTTGAAAAAATCGGCGTCTGACGTTTTTGAAAGTTTACGTATTAGTGGAAAAATTCGCTTTTAGTCTTCTCGGTCAATTTTTTCAATCCATATTGTGAATCTTAATCAGCCGCTTATCGATGTTGTGCATCGCAACGAACCATAATGACATAGAAAAAAAAAAACGACGTGAAATAGCAAAATAAACCCCGCATATGCGAGGGCACGAACGGGACCGATAATTGCTGTACGATCTCATGATCGATCGGTACTTTCGTTGTTTGTACGAATAATTTATTATTGAGCGTTACCTCGTTAAGCAACGGGACGAATGCGCGGCATTAATGAAAGCGTGCGGCCTTCGCCGTGTGATAACTCTTTAAGATGGCGTGTCGAGGGCCTATAATTCCGACATATGTACAGCACTTCGTGGCTACACGGGTCACCTTCATCGACCTACTATGATAATTGTCTAACATATTCTTCCTTTTTTCCCCGAGCATCGCTAGGAACTCATCCATCTTCCGTCGAGCGTCGGACATCTCGCTACTCACGGATAGCACGCTTTTTGTTTGGCCGTGGAAATGCCAAAGTCACGGGAATGTCCGTTGAATAAAACGCAAAATAACAATTCAACCTATCGCCGAGCTTTAAAAAATTCCTTATATGCAATTAATTTTTTAAATTTTGTTGTTAAATTGTTTTGTACGTGTCGCGTAATAAAATAGATATATTTTTATATCTGAAAAAATTATCTGAAAATTTCTTAATTTTTCAGATATTTTCGGTTCAAATATTTAAACATACATTGGAATATTTTTAAATGCAAATTTAAAATAGATGTAATTATCATCTGGTCTTCTTTTTATTTATACGATGAGGAAAAAATTAAAAGTTATTTATTGACTCAGACTTGAAGAAGAATTGAGGAAAGAAAAGAAACTTTAATAAAATAAGTAACAACGCATAAAAAATTCATTTTTTAACTTCCAAAAAATACAGGAAAAAAAACAGAATAAATACAAAAGAAAAGATTAAAGAAAATCTTTTAAAATGAAACAAAACTTATTCCTAAATCTAAATCAATCTTATCTGAAGATCTAAAAAAAATATCGAACAAGATTTATTACTGTTTGTGAAAAAAAGAAAATATTTTGAGAGATAATTTAAAGATAAAAATGTTTGAATTAGGAAAAATTCTCTGAATGAAAATATCTTGAATTCTTCTGATAGAAAGAGAGATTCTCTAATTCTAGATTTTTAAAAGATAAACACATCGTACATTTGATCGCGTTTGGGAAAAACTCTATACATGAAGAAACAATATCTCGGAAAAAAAAAAACAGATACTTTGTATCAGATTATTATAAGATACTTTGTAAAATTGAATTGAAAAGCTGTGACAAAATCTATAATTATCAATAATAACACTTACACACGTCAATGGGCAGCACGTTATTATGTCTAAACATATAAAATGATTGAGTGTGTGCATCCCTTGTATATCAATTAACCTACATGCGATCGAAGGAAGATAGAACGTGCGTGTATGACTCCTACAGCAATAGTGTCACGTTATGTCGCATCATTTATTCATACTCGTGGTTTAATTACAAATGGATCTCCGAGGGCTCGGAATAACGTAAACTTCTCTGATCGCGCGAACCGCTCGATATGCGCAGGCAAGTATCTGCGCATTAATCATTCTCACGAAAAAAAATTGAATTTACATTTACGCGTGTGCTACACTGTACCTCTAATAAAACAAATTAATTGAAAAAGAATGTAATTGTAATGTTCATTGATGAAGAGACTAAATAATACAATATTATCACGCGTGATGGATATACGCGGCGTAATTCTCCTGTCGTTCCCGACAAATTGAAAGAATGGAAAGGTCAAAGGTAATATTTCGCTGAGAAGATAATTTTTCACTGAAAATCAATTCGTGCTTGGCCATTATTTATGCAATTTTGTAAAATTATGCCCTATACTTTAAATTATAGTAAATAAATTGCGCGTGTCGCGCATGTCCGATGTTTCATTTATCGATTTACGTCGATATCTAAGCAAACTGATTGTGATTTCTTGATCCACTTGATTTCATTGTCAAGATTCGCGCTTTCTGATCGCGTTTAAATTACTGAAAAATTTAATAACGACCTTCCAAGGCACGATATGTAATCTCCATGGGCATTATTATATGCGATATCGATATATCAGTTCGCACGCGCGCGTGCAATTCTCATCTAAAAATAACAGGCCGCACGCAAATAGCTTGCATATGCATTGGGCCTAACAACATGCTGCCATTTACGCCCGTTTGAAAGTAGGCCAGTCGAATTAGAATTACCTCTATTAACAGGGCAAATTTCTTTTATCGTTTAACATCACCATGCATAAGATAATACGCTTACATCACATTTAGCTGACGTTTTAAAACTCGCAAAACTGATAATTGTATTTTTCAGAAAAAAATTACTTCTAATTTACTGCAACAATGAAAACTAAGATTAAAGGTTTAAATTAAATTAATGTAAAACCGTTTTAAAAAGCATGATATAAAGTTAATGACAGATTTCTTAAATCTTTCTTGATTTAATATTTCTAAAAATTTAATCTTATTTTATTGTACAGCAATTGAAATTAATAAAGTAAATCAGCTTCGACTCAATATAGAACTAATGGATAAGTTCCTCATTGCAGCAGAGTCTCTGTCTCTCTCTCTCTCTCTCTCTCTCTCTCTCTCTCTCTCTCTCTCTCTCTCTCTCGACTCTCAAGATTGAATGACTCTTATCCCTTTTGCTGTTATTCTCCCTCCTCGATCACATTAATATCAGGTTAGTAATAGTATGATAATAGATAATAACAGGTACCGTAAAGCCAATCGATAGAATTACTCAAGCAATTAAATATTTACTGCAGCGTTTCGTGCAGCTCAACTTCATTAGTCGGCTATCTAACGATTGTATAAACGTCGCTGCATTAAAGCCGCACGAAGACTATACGCCATAATCATGTAACAATCGAATACGGTCGACGAGTTTACGAAAAAAGTTTGAAAATTTATTTCATCATATCGCTAAATTTTAGAGAGAAAAAATTATAAGCTTTAGGTTTATTTTATGAAAACATTAGTATGAAAAATGCAGCGATACTTTGTAAAATTATTTTTAAATACCGATGGAATCTACAAACATACATACTTCAAAGCTATTGAAAAGCCTTGTGAAAAATTTTTTTATAAGGTAAAAATATATAGCATGGCTAAAAAGGTTAAAAAAATCTTTGTATAGAGTAATTGTGCCAGATAACTTTTAATAAACTTAACAATGCTTTTAGGTTGTTGCTTTTAAAGTTAAGATATTAAAACATATAAAGTAAACGCAAAAAAAATTTACAGAGAAATAATTGTAAAAACAAATTATATGGATATTTCAGTATGCAGGAAAAATGAATATACGATTCCAGAAATGAATGGCGTGTTCGACATAATAGTAGTATCTCGGGTACAAAATGAAAGATGCTTCCGTGGCAATTTCCGAGTGTAGCGTTTTGACTTTTACGTCGTCAAAAATAGCGGCATATTATCAAGAAATCCCGCAATGTTGCAATAAGACGCGCAAAAGAATTTTAGCATATTATCTATTATTAACACATTTACGAGTATCTCTAGTAAACTCGGTTATAATATTTCGAGAAAATTGTGCGAGTTCGTAAACTAGCCATAACTTTAAGTAGATAGCTTTATCATACGTACGCTATTTCACACAACGCGAAGATATCTTGGATTCGATTTTGGATGCATAAAAAATATAGTTACTCTGATAAAAATGTTCTAATTTATTTATAAGCATATAAAGTGCACTTCTTGCGCATTATAAGTATCTTTGACTATTACTATCTTTACTCTTATTGAAAAAAGAATTAATTCCAAATGAAGACCAAAGGCTTTGACATTAAAAATAATAATACACGAAAAGTGCAAATGGTGTTAAAGTATTAATGAGAGAGTACTGTACAATATTGTTTGTATAATATATAAAACAAAATAACAAAATTAAATAAAATGTTAATAGCTTCAATTTCTCGCGCTCTATATCATTTGCGTCCAAACTTAAACGAAAATAAACGGAAAGTGTCGGCAAGATAAAAAAAAAAAGCGAGAAAACTTAGATATATTCGTGACGATCGATTTGTTTCGTGGATACGTTGCCGCGTTTTGTTTTGATAATGAATTATTTAAAAGGCTGCGGTGCTTGGCGACAGTTTGAAAGAAATGAAAAACAGTCTATTGAATAATGCACGAATCCGCAAAATTTTTCAGTGGATGATGCCTGCCGGAACAATAGATGTACTTCGCCGGCCAATGTATACGTTTGCATGACATGAAACCGAAGCACAATGAACGTTGTTTATTAATATTCTAAGACTATTCTAATTTTCTTATACATGAATATACATTCATATAATATAAAAAAATATATAAAAGTCGAAAAAAATCTGCCAAGTTTATGAATAAAGATAATTTGGATAAAAAGGATATGACGAAATACAATATGCAACATTATAATAGACTGCAATTGACTTTGATTGATCTTTCTGCCCTTATCAAGTTTTTATATGAAAAAGATTTTTTCCACTTCCTAAGATATCACACAGGGG